TTAATTTTAGATTTTTAGATACGGTGACTGTGATATATAAAGTAGAATAGATAGAATGTGAGTGTATATCAAAAGAATATAATGCCGATATTTATCAAGTTTTCGAAAACTTTATTTAGATTTCTAAAAATAACTTTGAATCATCTATATCAATCATTATCATTTTTCTAAGTAAGTTTATCTATTTATTTAGTAGTAAAAAATAAGAATTTTTATTTTGGATCAGATATCATATAAATGCACAGATGGAAATTAATCTTTCTTGTCAGAAAATATTTGATTTGACAATTGAATTAAAAGAAATTTCAATTATGAACTAGTAGAAATTGTTTATGAATTAATATTGATTTCAATCAGGTAATATTAAAATCATGTTTAGATAAAAATCACATTGCTTCTCAGATAAGTTTTATTAGTGAACGATAGAAAAAAAACAAGTTTCAAAGATGTTAAACATAATAATAAATTGAATTTTAAAGGAATAAATACATGAAGAACATTTCTATGTAAAATATAAACTTACGATTAATGACTTTCGAATGATATATTTCAATTCAAGTAATTTTATTTAATATGATTAAAAAATAAACATAATCAATTATTTGTGCACTTAAGAGGGATCACATATAATTTTCTTACGAAAAAATTCATTAGTTGATATTGACTTTTTTAAATGTATCTAGTTAGATGATGCTATTTTAGACGAGTAAATAAACATATTATTTATTTTAATTGATATTTATTAATTGACATATTCATTTAAAAAGTAATTTTATCCATAAAACTCATATCTCAAATAAAATTCTTCAAGGAATAATTGATTATTTTAAATCAATTGTACAATTTCATGCAACAACGTCTGAAATCCTTTATTAAATAAATCTTTGTTGTAAATTTATTTTTGAATATTTTCATTTATTTCTTCCTTTCAAAATTCTCATTGAAGTTTTTCGAGTTAATGCAAGTTTTAAAGGAAGTATTTCAATTGGTTCATGTTCATTTATTATTCTAATTAATTGATTAATATCAATTAAAACCAGTAAGCTATCTCTTTCTGTTTCGTTTCATTTAAAAGTTTTTTTTTTCTTCAAAAAGATTTGTGTATTTCTATACCAAAACCAAGACATAATATTCAAAAAATGATCATTATCTTAAAAAACTCAACAATGAAAATGGAAAAGTAACTATAATTTGTATATTTTAATAGATTATATCATAATCTATAGCAAAATGATATATTTCATGATTGTCGTGAATTCTTTGACTCTTCCTTTCCATAAGATGGTACAACGTGATGTTACATTATATAAGATGATAATTAAATGACTACGATGTAATAATCAAATTTTTAGTTTTTGTATGTTACATACTTCGATGAATGTATTCAGAAGACTCTAAGATAAACATTTCATTTTGGAACAGCTTATCTTCAAACTTTGTTTCCACGAAACCAAACAAGATAAAATATACCATTCCATAATAGTGAATCATTCTTTCTCAGATCATTCTTCTACATAGGAACATTCTGGATAAAGTAAAGTGATACAATGAAATCAAAAAATCGAAGAGTTTATTATGTGAGAATATACTAAGAAAAGAAAAAGGAAACGTATAGCGGTACATTATGCAAAACGATCAATAAAATGATTTTCAAGCTGCGAAAATAGTAAAGCAACAACTTGAAAATTTCATATTTTAAGTGTATCCAATATAGAAAATTGATCTGGACACTTCTACACAGTCTTCTTGTTTATCAATCAATCCATGTTACTTTAAACTTTTAAATAAAGGCTCATGAAAAATTATAGTTTTTCTAAGGTATTTTCTAACGAAATAACCGAGAAATCATTAAGATCTTGCAGAATTCATGCGCATTATTATGTTAAAAGCTATCTAGCTGCTAATTAAAAATGTTTTCTTTCGTTTTTTTGCTTCCGTTACATCTATATTCATCAATAGTTAATCTATCACTAATTAATAGTAAAGCATAACTTTTTCATGAACAAACGATCAAGATTTTTTGTCTTTTACAACTTTTTCTACCAATGAGATAAATTTTCTAAACTTTTATTCAGAATTATTTTTTTATCTTTAGATAACTGCATATTTATTGTAGTCTCCATTGATCTATTTATTATACAACTGCTTATATACGAACGATCAGTGAAAAACGTTATTTTTCTTTCTCTGTTTTAATGTTCATTTCAAACAACGAGCACCGATCGATAAGGAAGAAGAGAAAAAATTCGATTCATTTGAAATAAAGATGATCTATTATTTAGTAACATGTAATTCACCTTTTGATTTAACGTTTTTAGTACGGTCTATTTCTTCTTCCATATCTTTCTGAGTTAAATAAGCACGACTTCAAATTTGTTCAATTTATTCACAATAACATAGAGTATTAGATCTCAAAAGTAAATTTCATGTTTTAAGATTTTCATACCATAGCTAAAGTACTCACAAATTAGAATGTTAGAGATCTTCTTTTTTGTCATGATTGCATATAGTTCATTGAGGTACATGAGAAAAAGCAATCTTTTCAATGCAAAACAGTTACCGATGTATTAAAATTCTAGGTCTCTCTCTTAAGATATCTGAAAATAATGTTATCTTAGTCTTCTTCATAAAATGTTTGGTTTTTGCATTTGAAATATACTTTTTCTTATGTAACTTGGCGAGTTCTACTCAACTATAAGAAAAATAGAAAAAATTCTGCTAAAGTTTTGATTTGTGTGTATTTAATATACGGTGTAAAAATCCTGGAATTCAAGTATCTTGATTTAAGCATGACAACAAAACCCTATAATTTTATTTTCTTAGCTTAATGATGAAAGTTGTAATTAGACCCTAATATATCTAACCATATTAACTAAGAATAGAGACACTTCCATCACTGGTCAAAAATTCAAAAACTAACTATTGTAATTCCTCATATGAAAATCTTTCCGGCATATGATAATGTTATGTGTTAGACTTTTCCCACATCTTGTGCTTGAATCATAGCTCTCTAAAATTAGACGTTGAATATTATTTGTTTTTTATTGTTAGCAATGATTGATCTATAACTTATTCTATTATTCTATTGATTACTTTTCGATTAAATTTTCCATAGAAGTTCTTTTCATCAATCATGATCTGAGGAGATTGTCAAAAAAAAGCCTTGTTTAATTATGTTCCGAGAGATTGTTGTTAGTGAATTACAATATGAACTCAATCGAATTGATCTTGTTACACAATCATTCTCAACTTTTGTCGAATAATAGGATATGATAAATGATCACAAGAGAAAGAGTAATGCTAGTGCATTTTGAGAGTCGATTTCGCTTCACTTTTCAGCATCAGTTTCTAGCCATCTATTTTTGTTTGTCTATATCTGTATGTATCACACAATAGATATTCACTCATTTCGATCTGCTCTGTATATTCCCGTACGTAGATAACATTTTCATCGTCAAACCATTTAATGAAAGGGACAGGCACAGCCAAAGTCCAAAGATTTTTGTTACAATCATTTACAAGAATATCGTCAAACACTCATTAATCTATTATTTATACAGGACGTGAACTTATTGAAGGAAGAATCGATTCAGAAAATTAAAGAAAGCAGCAGAAGAATGTAGACAAGTATTGATTGAATAGCATATGCAACATTTTAGTGAAATTGAATATATATTATCTCAATTAACTGATGAGTTAAAGAAGATTCGTGAAGAAAATGAATTTGATGAAATCAATATAGATCGCTCATGAAAAGAAATGAAATCAAACGAAGTTAACAGAAGATTTCAAATCCGGTTGATTCTGCACATTTAGTAAACATCAGTTGCATCCATTTATTGTCTGGTAAGTGTAGTTATGACATATAGATTGGTAAATTAGTTTTGCTACAGGAACACGAAGCTTTTTCAGAAGACTTGACTAAAAACTCCCTATAGAGAACTACTGTGTTTTTATCCATCAACATTACAAAATCATATAGTATTAGTAATCTTTTACTAGAGGAGATCATGTATTAACGGTACGATGATTTCATTCGAATTTTTCTTCATAAAGTCTTTTCGAAAAATAAATTTTACTAGTTGATTTATTATTTTGACCTAAGATTACTTATATACGTTCTAACTTGCTAGAAAATAACTCGTTATCAATCGCATAAATGTATTAGAACTGAAAGAGCAGTTATTGCTCACATATGAATCCTCGTTTTACACATAAATACGAAGGATTATTATTGATTGAATTCGAATAAAATATGTTTCGAATATTCTTTACTACTTGTACTTTCCCGTATATCTGTTTGCTGACAAACATTTGAAGCAAGGATTGAAATCTAATTTGATTGTATGACTTTTCTTACAAGCAAGAGTCGTACGAAATTAGTTTTGCTACAGTTGAGTGACTCTAATGCCTACAAACTACAGCATGATAAATGAAAAAGTTTGTTTCTCCTTAAGTCTATTTTCAATAAGATCATCAAACATTAACAGATATCTCTGTAGGCCTGAGTGAGTCCCTATAAAATTATTTAGATGCCTTTGACTTGACTCTGACAGAGAAATCACATGACACATATTCGATCGCATGAGTCGAATCATTCGTATCACTTGTTCACAACAGTCGTAATTAACTCTTTTCGAGAAACACTCATCAATGCCATTAATATCTCTTCAATGCATAGCTTTTTTTCTTATTGTATAAATGGTAACGAAATCGATTTTCTAAGAGCTTGTTCGAACCTCTGTGCTGCGCAAGCGTCAGTGAGGAATGCATCCAAGAGAGCAAGACTGATCAAATGCGTCAAGAATTTTCTGAGCTACACAATGAACCTGATGGAATTGATAATAAACGTTATGTGACTTTGAGCTTAGATGTTGAGAATCGTAGTATTGAATTGTTGTCGTCAAACAACAGAAACTATGTACAAATTAAAACAACAAAGTTATAGAATGCTTCGAGGAAAACAAAAAAAATCGTTATGATCTACATAGAACAATGCAATGTTTATTGGAAAGCAAATCAGTTCAGCTGCTCATCGTAAGATAAAACTAAATAAATATGAAAAATTTGCTTGTATTTGTCTTCAAGATACACGAGGTAAAAATAATGAACACAGTGCTGATTTGGTGTCGTCGCCAAATAATTGCAAATCATCGGTGTCTGACGAGTCTCGAACGAGTACAACGTTTTATAAATCATTATCTACATTTCTACATTGAAAAACAATTTGTTCAATGCAATTCATTGAGCTCCATCCAGAGGACAATTTATATCCGGTGTTCGTGGTAAGATAATTTTAAATAAGTAGGAAGAACCATAGTTTTTATTTAGCTGCTAGATAATCATGATGTTCATCTTGGAAATGATAGCAAAAGTAAGTATATTCAGGTGATATATATATAGTATGTGTTATTTGTTTAGTCTTTCAGATAGTATGGCGATAGTTTCTATAATTCTGATGTCAAAAAAAATAACAACCGAGTAAGCATATATTTAGTTTTTGAAAAACAAATTCGATCATTCATATAGGTTTCTGATGATATTTTCAATTAACGGAAATATATATAAGAATTAAGATAGAAAAATAATCGAAGTCATTTTTTCTATAGCTGATGATCATCCAATTAAACATTATCTTCCACCACCTTTATTGGCAAATACAGATGATATATTTATTAAAGCAATAAGAAAGGATGAAGACTTTGGAAATATCCCTAGAATATAAATTTGTTATCTACCATTAGGTAATATAGTATTCTTTATTTTATTTTTAATGTTTAGTTCAACAATGACTTTTTTTATATTTCATTAGACAAAGTCAAACCAATTGAATTAAATGAAGAAGCTAGTGTTGACACACAAATTGTATCGAATACTCGTCTTGCTCACTTTGAAGGTTTCAATAACGAGATGATTTATTGGTTTTGTGCTCAAACTGGATCTGATAGATCAGTAAGTTTTTTTTTAACAGCTACTCATCCTTTACTTGAATGTCATGCCGATGTATTATCTAATAGAGAACATCCGTCATCACCACTTTGCCTTATTATATCACCTACATGCCAACATGTTTTACAAACAGAAGATGAAGCAAGAAAAATCACATATCGAACTGCTGTGGTACCATATAAGTTACTTCATAAACGTACAGCGAGAATATGTATTCTCGTAAAATGTCCAGCTGATTATTATTTGCACCTATATCGCATTGCTGCTGATGATCATGATATGTTTACTGTATCGGATCATCTTCAAGACATGGTGGGAAAAGTCCAAATAAAATGATAATTCAGTGGATTGTATTCAAAGTTTTACAGGATTCCTCATTTCAGTTTCACTAAAAACAAGTGAAATTTCTCGTTATAGATGAAATTAACCGGTATGTAAAAACGACACCGATGGTGTTGAATCTAATTTTGATTGCGGTTTGTTTGTTTTTCTCAAGCATATTAGATACAGAATTGGAACTTGATATACGAAAATTAGAAAGTCTTGGTTTATCATCACAAGAAGAACGTGTTCCATGGATATTTTTCGCAACATTTTCTAACCAATTACAGCAATTAGCAAAACATGTCCTTCGTGAAGATTATATTTTTTTTCTATGAGAGTGCAAATGTCGATGTAGCACATACAATAAAAGAAGTACCATTTACAAAGAAATAAGATCTGAACGTTGTTTGATTTTGTTGAAACACAGCGATCAGCTGATTCAATCGGCACATTACTTTTACAAAAAAACCTCATAAGTGTAATAATCCATGAAAATCAAACACACCAACAATGAAATGAAACTGTAGAACAATTTACAAATGGTCTTATTGATTTTGTTGTTCAGTATGATTTACCGGATACAAGTGATTTTTATATTCGTCGTATTGGTTGAACAAGTAGAATGAATTATAAGAAAAACAAGAAAAAGGAGAAATAGTTTTGAAAATTCCCTTTTTTTTGCATAGGTCATGCTGGTTAATTGGAGAAATCCATATGATTTTTTGATTCTGATCGATAGTCTGACAGAAAAATTGCTCTTGAACTTACACTAAAATTATGCCAAGTATATTTTGTTCTCTAAATCGAACATGAATTTTCAATTAATTTCTTTCAGTAGGATGGCCAAGCAACATCAGAATTTCTTAAAAAATATGGTGATGTGGGTACTATTGGATTTTATCATGACGACCATAGGACGACGAATAGTAATGTAATATTGTTAGTGTGAATGTGGGATAAGACATACACCTACACTCCGACCCACACCCACCGTCTGTTGAGTAATTAAACTAAGAAGTATTTTTAATAGATTTTAGATGGACATTGTTGCTGAAAACTTTGAGCCCGAGGAAAGATTTTTAAGGATCTTGTGTCATGTTCAATATGTCCTTCATATTTAGCCAATAGACATTAAAGCAAGGCTAAAATTTTGGATATATAGGTAGATTTTATATGCTCTTTTATATCATATTATCGAAAAGATATAAAGCAAAAGCTTTCAGAGGAAATGATTTCTCGATCGAGTAATAGATTGTCTCTTAAAATAACATTGAGAAATCTATGAAATTCTTATGAGCCATCCACAATAATCAATCGTTACCGTTCTTTATTAAAAGTATAACTCATAAACATAGTTATTACTTTTTTGTCTTTAGTCTCCAGAGAAGTAATCCTTTGTGGTTGTTACTCAACATTTTCTTCAATAACAACTTAGAAAAAAATTCGTTTGTTTGTTTTTAAAATGTGATTATTGTGCTTCAAATAAAATGGTTTAGAATGGAGAAAAGAGAGAAGAAAAATAAATTTGCACTTGTACATGAGAGTCACAACAAAAAAAATATACGTATAAATTACCAGCTAGAAGTAAGAATATTTAGAGAAAATAATTGTAGAAAAATGCATTCAATAGAACATTTTCTTTTCGCAAATAGTAACCTTGTTTGAAGTAGATATTATCAAACTCTATTCAATCATTAAGATAAGGTTTATCTTGCTTTATATGTCAACCTGGCAAAACATCATTTCTATTGAATATGAGAATAATATTTTTCTTCACTCAATCCATATACCATACTCACAAGTTAGTGTTCAAAAATTGTAAATAAAGAAAAAAAATTTTATTTGATTAAAAAGAAACTATTCTTTTTACAAAATTTGACAAATGTGAGAATTAGCATTTTAATTATTATCAGATGATGACAATGTTACTTCCAGTTTGTTTCTTTTTTTTTGAGATAAAGTCTTTATTATTGTAAAATATTTTTCTCTTAGTCAACAATGGAATCATTTGCCTCATTTGTAAATTTTCGATTCTATACTTGTTTTAGTGTAAATATGTCTCTCAATTATTGATTTTACAAAATGTTAAAATTTATTAATATTAATTAATATGATTTCATTTTCTAATTGACTATTTAAATAATAATAATCCATATTAATTTATTGATCAATTAGATGAATGTAGTCTTTTTTTTAATCTTTTTAGTAAAATTTTATATTAATTATTCAAATATTTTTATTTATTTTAATATAAATTTCAATGATCAATATTCTTTAGTAGGAAAATTTTCAATAATAAATGAACAAATTTTTTTCTCATCAAATATCAATTAAGAGTTTTATCTTGACAAATATAATAATTGTCAATCACATGGATTATTATCTAAGTGAACAATTGTTTTTATTAAAAAAATCTTTTTTTATTGAATTAATGTTGAACCTAAAACAACTCCTAGTCAATTTTTTTTATCAAAGTAAAAGCTTATAATTAACAAATCTATTTTAGTGAACTTTAATGTGGATAATCTCTGGAAAGCTTTTATTTATTTAAAAAAACAAACATGACGAAGAGAGTTTTAGATTTCCTTCATGGAAGACTGGTAAAGAACATTCTTTCATTATTGACATTTATTTGTTCTATTTCTGAAGCACAGAGTCATAGGTGTTTGCATGAAAAAGAAAAGATATACTAGAACTTGACTTAGCCATATAGTATTAAGAAAATTTTATGCTCCCTTATCAATGATGTGATTTGAGGAAAAGTTTCATTTGATGAGTGTCTAGATAAAAGATGTGAAAAAGATCAGGTGAGGAAAACAAAATTATTGATTGTTCAAATTTATTCTAGTCTATTTAGTAAGAATAAGGCTACTTCACCACCGAATTCAGTTTAGAAATGATCTTTTTTAGTGATGGTTTCTTCTCATTCTTACTGATAAATACATATGTTAGTCAAATTAAGGGGAAATAAACTGATTTACAGTGACTTCTAGCAATATAAATCAATTTGCTAACAGATAAAAACTTTTCACACATAATAATATTGACTTCTTTCTAGATAAATATTTTTCTGTTGCTTTTTTTGAAATATTTGATCTTTCAATAAGATAATAAATTCGTTTTACTAAAATAATAATCAATGTATTATTGCAAAAGGAAACTAATCTTACAAAAATTTTGAATAATTTTTTCCTTCGAATAAATAAATTTCCTTTATTTTAACATAATTAATTCGTGTATCATCTCTTGTAAACTTGTGTGCCACTCTTTCTAACGACTACCCATTGATATAGAGAAGAATATTAGTATGAAAATATATTTTTGTATTAAATAAAAATTCTTCTTTATAATCATCATGAACTTTTGAAATATCAACTGTAATAAGATAATTATATTTAACAATTGATGAATTTTCATTATGATTTATTGATTTATTAAGTTGTTTATGTTTTTGTGATTGATGATAAATCATAGTGAAAATGATTGAGAAATTCAAATAAAAATTTCATACTCAAAAGAATGTTCACCCTATAATGATAGTAAACGAACATGTAGAAATAATTCACCTGGAAAATAATGTGTTATCTTTTGATAATATTGCATTTACGTCGAAATTTTTTAATTACATGTACTATTGAAAATAAATTTAATAGTACTATAACTTATGAATGAAATAGAAAGTTGTACCTTACCAAAACAACAATGTCATATCAATTAAAAGTTTTTGCCCTTCGTTGTAAGTATAAAGCAACTGATAAGATCTTAAATAACACGTATTTTTTTAGATCCATCGGCGAATTGAAAATGAACCTTGTATAACAGAGATACAATTCGATAAAATTCAATAGCAGACGATATTCGTTTACATGTTCAACATACACAGGTAAAATAGATTATTTGATCTTTCTCTTGGTCATTTATAAACATATTTACCAACATCTATTCAAGTTTGATTTGATTCTTTTCAGTCTAATCAATAATTACCTATTTGATTTAGAACAAAAATACAACAGGTTCAATTTATGATCTTAAAAGATGTCCTTGTACAAATATACTTGATTCACCTACGTTTTATTCAACAGCTCGGCGCTCATTATCGTGAACAGTATCTGTACAATTGTATAGTTTTTCATCAACTTGTTGTGCTATGGCATATCATTCAAAACGAGATGAAATTCTTATATATGATAAAGATGAACTTATCTTATACAATGTTAATGGTACTTTAGTAAGTAATTAGTTGGGTGTGGGGTGTGGGTTGGGTGTGGGTGTGGGTGAGGGTGTGGGTGTGGGTGGGTGTGGATGTGTGGGTGTGGGTGTGTGGGTGTGGGTGCGGGTGTGGATGTGTGTGGGTGGGTGTGGCTGTGGGCGTGGGTGGTGTGGATATATAGAACAGATGATAACCACACCCACACCCACACCCACACCCACACCCACACCCACACCCACACCCACCCACACCTACACCCTAAATTGTGGTTCCCTAAATCAATCCCCAAATGAGTTCCCTATTTGTGGTCCCTGAATCAATAAAAAATTTTGATGACCAGAAACGTATTTTTTTACGCAACCTGAAGGTGAGGGTGAGAGAGAGAGTGTGTAATTATATATATTATCACTAAAAAAGACCCTAAATTAAGCTGCTCACCAGAATTGTTTTTGATTGATTCAGGAGCCACACATAGGGAACTCATTTAGGGAATGATTTATGGAACCACAATTTAGGGCAAATAATAGACATTCAAAAGATGTGAGCCGCAGACATGATTTTTACTGTCACGAGATAAAGCCCTATTTAATTCTGTGTTACTTCATGCAGATTTCTTTAGCAAGAAGTAAACCACTCGTCCCAGATGCTTTAATATGCCAAAATGTCACAATTTACTATTGGTGAATGTATAGCACATTTCTTGGTCGATGCTTATACAAAAGATATGTCTTTTTTAGCAGAAATCTGTCAGAACCTACATTTTTTCTACATATCGTTATTTTTTTATATGTCAAGGCTTCA